AATAATCAAACTAAAATCTTCAATATCTTTTAAATAGTGAGGTTTACGAAAAAAACATAAGATACCTTTTTTGTAGAACATTGAATTTCCTACAAAATTTGATTAAAACATTTTTTCGTATAATCAATTAATGAGGAGGTATGAATTTTTWTCTGTTGGACTGAGAAAAAAATAAACAACCGCGATGAGGAGGATCTTCCTATTAAAATTAAGAGCTCATACTGGGTGAATACTTTCTAAAGGTGCCTAGCAACAAGTTTTTGTATGTCAGATCCAAAAAAAAAATAAAAGTTTTTTTTTGATTCACCCTAATATATATATATATATATATTTATTCATATTAAATCTCTCTTTTTTTTTATCTATCTATCTGAATTTTCTTTAGTTTTTATTTAACGTAGTAGATATCCGATAGAAACCACCGAGAGTTTGCGTTACTAGTTTAGTTTATTTTCTTGCATGGGGTTTAGGTGCAGCAGCAGCAGCGAAAAAGCAAAAACGCTATTACCGCGTCTCGAAAAGCACATAATCGAAAATAGAACCTCTTCAATAATACTCTTTCTTTCTTTTTCTCTCTTTCACTCGTAAAGAAATAGTTTGTTATTCAAATAGCCAGCATAGGTTTCCTTCGAAGTACAGTTATATGCGTCTTTTGGTGTAAGCGGGGTTTAGGGGCGGGGGAGGGGGGTGATTCTTTTAATTTGTTTTATTTTCTCATTTTATTTCTCTTCAAGATAATTCAAATTAATTCGTTAACTTGTGTGTAACGTTTCGTTTTAATTACTCCGATACAGGAAACAAAAGTCAAATTCCATTGGCATGAAATATCTACGATCTCGACATTTTTTTTGATAAACGCGATGATAAAACAATGGAACTTCTGATAAATATTGTTTATCTTTCTCGCGGTGTATATCAAATCTTGTATACTTCTTTTTTCTTTTCTTAATAATTATTTATCTCTTTTATTTCTGTTTTCTTTTTTTAATCAAAATTAATCAAGATATTATACTTGATTCCAATAATTTTAGTTGACTACGTTGTATACGAATATACGGATGAATCAGTGATTAACAAAGTAACTTATTTAGAAATCATATAAAAAATATATATTTAACCCTTCTTTGCATGATGATGGAAATTTCAATCATAATATTTAGTCAAGAAAAAAAGGTACTCAACAAAACCCTTGTACTGTATATTTGTTGTTGCTGGCAACAACTTTTTAAGCGACTATTGCGTACAACAAAACGCAGTTGTCAAAAAATAACACTAGGATTTTTTTAAAAATATTTTTCCTTTAATCTAGAGCATTAATTACATCACCCTGATTTATTTAAAAAAAAAAAGAAAAAAGAAAAAAATCATGCAAAGAAGGGTTAAGTACAATGCTATAGTTTTTATGGTACTTACGTATTAACGCCACCGCGGCAAAAATTTAATGCATTTTCTCGTTTAATTTTGCAAATACGAAGATACACCTTAGAACATTTTTTATGTATTTCTCAATTCTCTACAACATTTGTTTGAAACTTTTTTCGATTTAATGCCTAGATTCTAAGATACGGCCTTGCTAAGCATTAAATTTTTGCCGCGGTGGCGTTAATACGTAAGTACAGTTTTTATTTTAAAATATTTTATTGTCATTTTGTTTTCATTTTAGAATTTATATATACCTTGGACTATTTTCATAATTTTCTATTAGTGATACATTGGTCGGATTGTGTGTATATGATATATAAGTATACGGATGAGAAAAATTAGTGTGTGTGTGTATATATGTATAAGATTTATTTATTTATTATTATTGAAAAAGATGTGTTCTTGGCTGAATTCAATTTCGATGAAAATCTTCTTCTCTCGTGTCGTTTTAAAAAGGAACAAGCAAGCGCACGCCTATCCTCGCTCGGAAATAAGCTTTGCTGCGCGATGGCCGACAATATTTTTAGATCTTCTGTGTCGTCTCGATTCGTTAGAAGAAGGTGAAGAAGAAGAAGAAGAAGAAGAAGAGGAGGAGAAGAGGAGGAGAAGGAGACAAAGACTATTTCTCTTTCGTATTCTCTCCCACACGTTGGCGTTCTTGTTTTACCTTCTTACGAAACGTTCTTGCTAAAAAAGAGAAAAAAAATCACACGGTATATCGTTAGAATATCATTTTCAAACATGCCGCCATTGAAACACTCGTTTTTATAGAACATCGTGTATAATTAAATTTCAGGAAAAAGGGTGAAATAAAATCAATTAACACGTTCCAAGGCATGTGTACCTTGATCTTCAAGCCACTGTGTTACCACTGGTAATACACACAGTAGTCCTATTATATATTTAATAATACGCTAAATATCAAATGTTGTCTAAACGACAAATCAGGAAAAATTGGCTTAACACGTAACGTGTTAATATAATGTTTTTCTTTGAATATTATTTTAATCAACAATTTTGATATAATTCATTGAAATGAAAAAAAAACAATTACATATTAAATAAATTCTATCTTAATAAATGATATATCTTAAATAAATTAATATCTATTATATTAGATGAATTAGATTGAATTAGATTTAAATTACATATTAAAATAAAAATACATACCTATTCTTATATTTCTTCTTTTTTTTCTTATAATTATTATTAGTTTTTGGGAAAGGGTTGAGCGTTGTTGGAATAACACGTGTTAGAATTTATTTAATATATTTAATTAAAATGAAAAAAAAAAAAAAAGAAAAAAAAAAGAAGAAGAAGAAGAAGAAAATACGTAACATTTAATAATTCGATTTATTATAAAATGATTACGTTAGATCGCGTATTATATTGTATATTACGACGATGGGGGTATATACATTCTATAGAAACAAGTTTCGAATAAGGAAGGGTATTTTAATGAGGTATCCTCGGAAAGAACGGGGGTTGAGTGAGATTGAGCGTAAAATTACTCGATCACAGTGAAGACGAATATACATATAACATATACATATACATATATATATATATATACATGCCGGTAGTGTTTTGATCGCGTGACAGCTGCTTCTTTCTCTTTCTATCTTTCCTATCTATCACCCTTTGCGTCGTTTAATTATGCAAGCATACTCGAGTTTACGATCGAGAAAACGGGGGGGGGGGAAAAAGGAAGACTCGGCAATGGGGTTGGTTGGTTGGTTGGTTTGTTGGTTGGTTGGTTGGTTGGAGTAAACGAAGGTATTATCCGATGGAAGAAAACTCTTGGAGTTCGAGTTGTTCTTCTTTTTCTTTTTCTTTTTCTCTTCCGGTTTAACGAGCTTACCACCACACAATATATACTAG